GACGCCCCGCCCTCCCCATCTGTCAGCGCCGCGCTCGCTGTGGGTTCGGCGTCCGGGAGTCCCGGGTCAAGGTGGTCGCGCGGCGCAGAGTTTGAAGAGCGAGCGGGAGCGGGAGGTGGAGGCCTGGCCGTGGGCGCGCGTCTCCGCACTCGGGCGGGCCGCTGCGGACGGCTGGCACCCGTGCCGCTGGGGAAGAGCGCGTCGGGACTCGAACCACCTAGGGGTACTGTAGAATCCTCCTACCCCACGCAGAAACACCAGGGTTCCGGGATACCTAGATGGGCGTGTGAGCAGAGTTTGGGACTTGTTAAGCCTTGCCGGTTGGGGGGTGGGGGTGGTTCTCATTCGGAGAAACCTGTTGGAAGTGTCTGAGGAGTGGGTGGGATGCGGGGCTTAGGTGGAAAGTCTGAGAGCTGGAGTCATTTTGAGTTGCATTTATGAACAGTGATTGCCGTGGTATTGTGCCCTGTAGGAAACTGTTAAGTGATTCGGGTAGGGTAGGGGATTATTGAAGAGAAGGCATGTTTCTTTCTGCCTTTAGCGGTGTCTTGCCAACACATATATTTATCTAGATAGCCTAAAATGTTTATGCATGAGGTGGCCACACATTTTTTAATTAAAAAGGAACATGGCACTTTCCATTTATATACGTGTTCTCATATGTTGCTATCTTGATTTTTTTGTTTGTTTTTGGTAACTTAGTATTGCAGTATTTCAAAACTAACAAAAATGTGTTCTAAAACAATTGGTAGCTTGCCGGATAATTCTCAACCGAGGAGAAAAGAGCCAAAAGCACACTTCATTAGTTGGAACAACTGATTCGGGCTTAATTTGCTTCTAAGAGACATACAGTGGAAAAATCCAGAAACAGAAGAGGAGTATCAAAGAGACTTAGGAAATGAGCGAAAAGGGCCTTTGTACGTGTGCCTTCAAGAGATGGTATCAAAGTTGCTTTAAGGCATAGGGCTGCCATGTAATGATAAACATATTAACCAAGTTGAGTTTGTGACCTCGCTACATCGGGGCCATTCTTGATTTGTGTAGTGATTCGTGGCAGGCAAACATTGCTTGGGAAGTGTGATAATTAAAAAAAAAAAAGTTCCCACTGTTGTTTTTCCCGCACTTCAGTTGAAGTAAGATTTCAGACTAGCTTCATCCATGACTGGGGGTGCAGTGTGTGTGTGTGTGTGTCTGTGTGTGCACTTGCTTGTGTGAAGCCATTTCTCTGTTTTTCTGTCTCTGATTTGTGTTTGACGCAGAAAACTTGAATAACAAAGGCAGACGGGAAAAAGCCTTATGATCACAGTGAACTTGTTTGGCATTTACCTTTTTCAGTCTTTTGTTCCCAATTATATGTGTTTTCTTCTCTCTCTCTCTCCTCTCTCAAAGTGCTACCAGACTATATGATTTTTATCATGTACTTTTCCTTCCATCTATAAATAGATGATGAAGGGTATGTCTTGCTTTCATGAGGAACCATTTACCCGATTTCGTTCCTTTAGGAAGAAATCTGGGCCATGGGAGTTCTCTGCTTGCACCCCTCCAGGAAAGTCACTTTCCTGAGGCCTGCTGGGCTACCTGTCTCCAACCCGGCCAAATTGATCTCTGCTGTCTTTTTACAAATTTCAGTCTTACTCCAGCCTCGGTGCCTCTGTGCACACAGCTGGCCTGGATATTATAAAGTTAAGGTGGGTTTCCTTAGCTTTAGGTCCTTAGGTTTTCCCCAGCAGCTCTTCAGGATTCCTGTCCACCCCTGTCTTCCATTCTGTGCTGTACTTATCACCACTTGTAGTATTTATTTGTTGACTTGTTGTCTGTTTTCTTTGCTATCTCACAAGCAAGCAGGAGACCTTGTTTAACTGAAATACCTTCAGGGTTTTAAACAGTCCCGGCCCACTATAGGCGCTTAATATTTGCCCAGTGAATAAGTTGAAGAATGCTAGTTGTCCATCTATTTATATGACATTGCTGGTAGCCTTCTAGATAGGTAGCTATATCATGAGGTGTGTAGTGATATTTTGTTTATGATCTAACAAATAAAACTTGCCTGAAGATCAGAACGCAGAGCTAGTCACACTAGTTAGCCCTAGAGGCCAGACAGTGGTGGCACACACTAATCCCAGCATTCAGGAGACAGAGGCAGGTGGATCTCTGCCTCTGTTTAAGTTCAAGGCCACCCTGGAAATTAATCCAATCTTCAAGAGAAACAGAGCTCACACAAAGGTAATCCCAGCACTTGAGATCATATGCCTTTAATCCTAGCACTAGGGAGGTGGAGATAGGAATGATATGACTGGGCGGAGAGAGGAATATAAGGCAGGAAAAGACAGGAGTTCAGAGCAGTCTGAGCAAACAGTCTGAAGCACCTGTCTGAAACAGTCAGTCTGAGGAGCAGTCTGAGCAGCAATCAGTCCGAGGATGCAGTCTGAGGACAGGATCGCCTCTTTGGTCTCAGCACTGGTAGAGGTAAGGACTCTCTAGTGGTTGGCTGCTCTGCTTCTCTGACCCTTCAGCTTTCACCCCCTCATAGTTGACTCAGAGTTTTTTTTTTTTAAATTTATATTTTTATTATGTATACAGTGTTCTGCCTGCATATATCTCTGCAGGCCAAAAGAGAGCACCAGATCTCTTTATGGATGCTTGTGAGGCACTGCATAGTTGTGGGGAATTGAACTCAGGACCTCTGGAAGAGCAGCCAGTGCACTTAACCTCTGAGCCATCTCTTCAGCCACCAAGTTTTTATTATTAAGAACAATTAGAATTTGTGCTACTAGATGGAATAACAAATTCTTAAACTTTGCAACTTTCCTCTCCTTAACATATCTTAGAAAATTTTGTGAGGTGAGTCTTGGGATCTTAAAAAGAATGACAGTCTTAGGGGCTGGAGAAACCGCTCAGCAGTTGAAAGCACTGACTGCTTTTCCAGAGGACCAGGATTCTATTTCCAGTGCCCACATGGAACTCTAGCCCCAGGAGAGCCAAGGCCCTCCACTGGCATCTGTGGGCACCAGGAACATGAGTGATATACAGATATACTGAAAGACAAAACATCCATAAAATAAAAGTAATACAATTAGGAAAAAGAGCTGGAGAGTTGGCTCCGCAGGTGAGAGCACTTGTTGCTCTTGCAGAAGACTGAGGTTTGAGTCCCAGCACCAACATGGCAGCTTAGAACTGTCTGTAACTCCAGCCCCAGGGGAACTGACAATTTTTTGACCTCCATGGGTACCAGGAACACATACAGTGCTCATACATACATGCAGGCAAAACATTCATAAAATCAATAAATCTAAAAAAAGAAAACCTTGATTTAACTTGAATAGTTGAGAGAAGGAACATTTTTTGGCAAATGTTGCTGATTTTCCTTCTTATGCATTATCCTTTGTGTCACACTGGGAATTTTTGAGAAGCCTAAAGTGTCCCAGTTTGGTTGTTCTTAGCAATAGTGTAAGCCTCAAGAGCATAGTGAGCTTTTTGTGTCCTCAGATACCCAAAGGTGTAATTACAGCCTCGATGTGTTTTCACTTGGGGAGTAGCTGTTATATTTACTTACTTTCTTGGCAGTTCTGTTCTTTTCATCTCTCTCCCTATCATTTTTAGATGGCTTTGTAGGTGCACTTACTTGCTTACTTGTTTTTTTGAGTCATTTTATAATTAATCCTTGACCTTTGGGTATTTTCCATCTCCCATGTAACCTTTGAACTATTTGAACGTGCCAGCTTCATCTTTTAGGGGAAAACAGCATCTGTAGGAAAATGTGACATTGTGCTTCCTTTAATTTTGAAGACTGTCTACTGTTGGGTGTAAAATTCTTAAAGGTTTGAACTCCAGATAGGCTAATTTTATTTGACTATTTGGGAAAAAAAGATTTGCTGTTTTCTCTGAATGATGCCTAGAACAATACATCACAGAGGTCATAGAAATCCAGATATGTAAGAACTCAGTGGTGGTGTAGTGTGTATGTCCTAAGTGGAAATTTTATTCAGTTGAGGGCCTGTAGGAAATATGTTAAACTTTATTCTTATTTTTTCAGTGGACATTTGTTGCGAATGTATTTTGGGAAAGGTCTGTTTGCTTTTGTAGAGATTGCTTAATCCTGTTCAACTTCAGATTGCCCTCTCTTCCTCTGAGACAGGGTCTTGCTATATAGCTGAGGCTGCCTTTGAACTCACTATATAGCTCAGGATAGCTTTGAGCTTGTAATCCCCCTGCCTCAGCTTCATGTGTTTTAGGAGTAAAAATACGTAACCACCACACCTGAATTTTATTCTTTTCTCATCATATTCATACCCCAGATAATCTCACCCGAGTCTTTAGTATGCCCTAAAAAGAGACAAGTCCCTCTTTAAGCCTCCCACTCTTTCTGGCTTGAGGCTTGCATTTTTTTTTTAATCTATCAGGCTTTTCTATTGTCTTTGCTTGCTGCCTCAAACTCACATGTCCACAACTTGCCTGGTCTCTCCACTCCTCTCTAATGCTAATGATATAACTTGGGACGTTGAATTTGCTAAGCAAGCACCAAAACACCCAACTTGGTATCTCCATCTTCCTTTCTTCAAACTTCCACATTTATAGTCTTCATTCTTGACCCATCCCTCATGCCCATCCCAGAATATTTTAAATCCTTTCTCCTAGATCCTAATCTGGCATTCTCTTCTCCTAGCTCTGGAGGACTGTCAGTGCCTTTTAGCTGGTCTTCTAGCTTCACTCGTGCTTTCTTTTACAGCATCCAGAGAAAAGGCAAGGGCAGACCACCTCTTTGTTGAGTGGCTACCCACTATACGTAGAATCACATCTGTGCTTACTCTGAGGTGCCAGCCAGCCCCTGCTGTCCTCTCTAGTCCCTGCTCATGGCTCATGTTTGTCAGGCTGAACACCTTCAGTTCCTCGTATATTTCAAGTTCTCCTCCTTGTTTGTACCTTCTTTCTGCCTGGTGCTCTTTCCAGAAAGATCCTTCCTTCTCAAGCATCTAGCCTTGGTTAAGATTTACTTTCTTTAGAATGGCAGTTACTTATGGCCCCTTGTATAGTAGCTTCCTTCTCATTGTCCCATCTCAGTACGTAGACATTTCCTGATAGGCACTTCACTAAAATCCCAAAAATTCATTTATGTTTGTTTCTTTCTTTACTGTCCCTTTCCCAATAGATTGCAAGATGTATGTGGGTGAGGAAAGTTTTGCCTTGGTTATGGCATGGCTCTGGTGTGTAGCTCTCTTTGTAGGA